CTTACTTCTTCTTTATTATTTATTATTTATATGAGTATACAAGAAAAAACAAGTGCAACAACAACATACAAAAAAAAAAAAAAAAAAAAAAAAAAAAAAAAAAAAAAATTCTAGGGGGTATTTCCTTCTTAAAAATGACACCTGGAATTCTGATTTCCGAGCAGGCAAGCAAAGCACAACATGTGGATGCTTTTCAAAATAAAACTTCCTGTTTCTAATATTGAGTTTATAGGACACAATTTAATTCAATGTAGGTAACTTATATTTTTGAACGTTTTTACCATTAACTTGGCCGTTGTTGTTCTTTTCTTAGACAGTTAAATGTAGATTCAGAGCAACATGATTAAAAATTGGATTTATATTATAGCTTATTTTATATAAATAGATGGACCATGGACGTAGTTTTGGGGGTGGGATTGGGGGGGTCATGTCCCCTGCACTTTATCAATCCTCCGTTTTGGTCCCATGCACATTTTACTGTCCAAAAACAATGGTACACTAAAGTTCACAGACGTTCGTTAAGCACTCGGACCATGCGGAAAATCACAGTTCAAGCTGAAGCCCACTTCCCTGAGTTAAGACCACCCCAAAGCTCCTGATTGGCTCACTGTGTTTTCTTTTGTGATTGGCTGTCATCGCTGTCACTCCTGAGAAGCTCACCTTACAAACATCTGATGAGCCACTGAATTGGGGTCTATGATTGGACGGTCAAACACGCTGAAGTTAGTTATAATAAAAAAAATATATTGCACCCCCCAACATTTGACCGATTCCAATTTGCCTACCGATAGAACCACTCCACCAAGGATGCCATCTCTGCTGCTCTCCACCGTGGTGTTGTCTGAAGTTTTCAGACAACACCACGGTGGAGGGCCTCATAAGAGACGAAAACGATCAGAACTACAGCGAGGAGGTGAAGCAGCCGGTGGGCTGGTGCAAACAGCCTGATCCTGAACGTGGAGATCATCTTGGACTTCAGGGAGAACCAGCCTAACCACCCTCCACTGGTCATCAACAGCTCAGCTGTAGAGGTGGTCAGCAGCACCAAATTCCTGGTGGTGCACATCACAGACACCCTCACCTGGACTGTAAACACAAAAGCGCATGTACTTCCTGTGAGGATGAGGAGAGCCCCACCCATCCTCACCACCTTCTACAGCAGCACCAGAGAGCGTTCTGACCAGCTGTCTCACTGTGGTGTGGAGGCTGCAGCGCCTCAGACTGGAAGAAGGTGAGAAGAGTGGTGAGAACAGCAGAGAGGAACATCTGGGCTCCTCTTCCCTACATTAAAGACATTTATTCCCAGCACTGCGTGTCCGGAGCCCGTAACACCATCTGTGGCACTTCACACCCCCACCATGGACTGTTCTCCCTGCTGCCCTCTGGGACAAGGCTTGCAGGTCCAGCAGATTGTGCAACAGCTTGTTCCCCACCGTCATCAGACAACGGACTTTTGAGAAAACTCTAAATCCTGTCACAAACCAAAACACTGCATATTTGCACCATATATATTAATGCATTGAACTTCCATTTTAATGCGCTTTTTGCACCATGTTTTTTGATCACTGCTGCACTTTATGAAATGAAAATGTTCATTTTGCTGCTAAGCTACTGTCTGAAAGCTATAAAAAAAAAAACAATATTTCATTTATTTTCATTTCTGCAAAATTACATTAAAAGTTGTCTAAGTCTAAATCAAAATTTTGTCAATGAGGAGGACAGACAGATTTCATTCATCAGTCTACGGCATGATCAGAAATCAATCTATGTTCAACAGTTCTGGACACCTGTCATTATATGTAGCTTGTTAGACTGGTGTCAAGCTAAGGTAGTTCCAGTCTCAACAATTATTTGATTTGTCTTTTTTTTTTCTTTTTTCTTTTTAACAATATAATGAAAGTTCTTATGAATCATAAACTGTTTCATGTTGTGTAGAATAATAAAAATATCAGAGTGTAACACTGGTAAAACCATGGATGAACCAAAAACATGAAGGTTATTTTGTTTCAAAACTATTTGTGCATTGTAATTGTGAATTTGAAGTTGTAGAGAGAGCTACGGTCTAAGTTTTGTATTTGTAGAATTAAGGGGGGAAAAAAATCACAGGTAGAATTATTTTTACACCTGTTCAAATTTTAAGTACAAGTACACAAATTCTGTTCTACAAGTTGCACATAAAAAATATCTTACATTCTCAGTTTTGCTCCAAATGGTCCAGAACTATTATTGCAAACTACTGTATATGTGCATTGTAACTTTGGTGGTTTTATTGTAGATTTTTTTTTTATCTGTCCCAGTTACCAAAAAAATATATATACCTCTCTTCAAATTCTTGAGTACAAGTACACCAATCGTGTTCTGTGAGTTTCACATATAAAATGTCTTCCATTCAGTTTTGCTACAGTAGATCTAAAACAAATGGTGGCTCCATCCACATCTAGTGAAAACTAGTGTAATTTGATGAGTCATATAACGCAAACAATTCAATTCAATTCAGTTTATTTATATAGCGCCAAATTCACAACACATGTCATCTCAAGGCACTTNTGGATGTGTGTATATATCATGTAAAACTGTAACTAAAGCGTGTAACAAAAGTAATTTCCCTCTGGGATTATTAAAGTATTTCTGATTCTGATTCTGATCATCTGGGCTTTACTCCATTACTTATTACTTATTACCTACTTCTGACTTCTACTTATTACATTTTCACACAAGTGTCTGTACTTTCTATTCCTTTATTTTTTAAAACAAACGTTACTCATTATTCTTCGCTTGGGTTTAATGTTTATAAATATTTATTTCCCGTCATGTGCGCCATCCAATGCAGATCATTGGCTCCATCCACATCTAGTGAAAACTAGTGTAATTTGATGAGTCATATAACGCAAACACTCATTGGTTAGCTAAAGGAAATCATCAGAAGCAAGCAGGTGTTCTTTAAACTGTAAACGTGAATTGTCTATGCCATGCTACAATTAGAGGCGTAGGTAGAACAATTTTATAAGGGTGGCCAGGCATTAACCAATGTACACTGAGGGGTGGCCGTAAGCGGATAGGCGCCAGAGCCTCAGGGTCAAACTACACTATTCCAACAATGAAAAATAACAAGCACAACATCCATATTCGCTAAATAAAGACTAACTTTACTTTCCTACAGCCTTTTTCTAACAAATAGACACATATATTTCAACATCCGTGCTTTCTAGATTAAAGGTATAGTGGATAAAATCCTTTCAGGTTTGAGTTCTGGAGCGAACATCTTTTCCATTGTCTTTACTTACCTACTTTATGCATAAAATTGACATTTACAAGTACTAATATCTACATTCATTGATTATTTAATACGTTTTTACTATAATAGTTATCTATGATTTCACTGAAGACTTCTAGATGATTTGCAGGGACACACAACTTTCTCTTTATCCCATATAACATAAAATCTAGTTCTTAAAGATCATGAATTCTGTACTTATCGTCTTTAACATTAGTACATTGATGTGCATAATTAATAACAGTGTTTTTGTGAAGTAATTGTTAATGTATGAAAAATTAAAAGGTTTTGAATATTCCACTTTAGAGTATTACTGCTGCCACCATCTGTATTAGAAGGGAAAAAATGGTAGGGGGTGGCCAATGATTGGCTAAGGGGGGGCATGGCCATCTCTGGCCCCCCATCTAACTCCGCCCCTGGCTACAATGTCAGATTCAGAAAAAGATGTTGAAATGTCTGAAAGGTCGGACACAGGTGAGAGCGTATCGGGTGATGGAGACCAACAAGACCTCCCTTATCCTTGGCCCTACCTCACAGGAGTTTTCCGAAATAGTCAAAATATTATGCTTTCAATTCATGTAGTGGCATCTGGCTGAAGGTTACTTCATACTCTGATACTTTAAGTAGTTTTTGGAGGACATACTTTTTCACTTGTAATTGAGTAAAGAGGTCAAGTTAATACTTCAACTTTTATCAGAGTATTTTTAAACTACAGTATCTATACTTCTACTTAAGTAACAAATGTGTGTACCTTTGACACCACTGCACACTTACAATGGAGAGGCATAGCCGGAAAAAATGTATAAGGGTGGCCAGGCAATAACCAATGTACACTGAGGGCTGGACATAAGTAGACAGGCACCAAAACCTCACGGTCAATCTCCACTGTTCCAACCAGAAAATGATATATATATATATATATATATATATATATATATATATATATATATATATATATATATATATATATNTGGAGGACAGCTACGTGGGGGGCCTACTTTAACTCCTGGATGTTCAACAGCCTGAAGCCTGGATTCTAACTCTGACAACACTCATTGGTTAGCTAAAGGAAATCATCAGAAGCAAGCAGGTGTTCTTTAAACTGTAAACGTGAATAGTCTATGCCATGCTACAATCAGAGGCATAGCTAGAAAAATTTTATAAGGGTGGCCAGGCATTAACCAATGTACACTGAGGGGTGGCCGTAAGTGGATAGGCGCCAGAGCCTCAGGGTCAATCTACACTGTTCCAACAATGAAAAATAACAAGCACAACATTCATATTCGCTAAATAAAGACTAACTTTACTTTCCTACAGCTTTTTCTAACAAATAGACACATATATTTCAACATCCGTGCTTTCTAGATTAAAGGTATAGTGGATAAAATTCTTTCAGGTTTGAGTTCTGGAGCGAACATCTTTTCCATTGTCTTTACTTACCTACTTTTATTAATAATCATTATGCATAAAATTGACATTTACAAGTACTAATATCTATATAAATTGATCATTTAATACGTTTTTACTATAATAATTATCTGATTTCACTGAAGACTCCTAGACAATTTGCAGACACACAATTTTCTCTTTACCCCACATAAAACAAAATCTAGTTCTGAAAGATCATGAATTCTGTACTTATTGTCTTTAACATTAGTACATTGATGTGCATAATTAATAACAGTGTTTTTTTTGAGAAGTAATTGTTAATGTATGAAAAATTAAAATGTTTTGAATATTCCTACACTTGAGAGTATTACTGCTGCCACTGTCTGTATTAGAAGGGAAAAAATGGTAGGGGGTGGCCAATGATTGGCTAAGGGGGGGCCTTGGCCATCTCTGGCCTCCCATCTAACTCCACCCCCATACCATACCATACCAACTTTATTTATGAAGCACTTTATACACCGGACAGGACCAAAGTGCTGTACACAATCATAAAATACAATAAAATTATAAAATAGAGAAAAAACGAGTGTAAAATACATATTAGTATAGAAAAAGAATAAAACAAAGTAAAACCTCTCAAATTGTGCCAAAAGCCAAGGAAAAAAGATAAGTCTTAAGAAGGGACTTAAAAACAGCAAGAGAAGAGGCTTGTCTTATACTCAGATATATATGAGTTGCTAAGGGTGCCCCCCATCTAGCTCCGCCCCTGTTACAATGCATAAATAGTTTTGAAACAAAAAAAGCTTGATACAAAAACAGAAACCAAATCATTTGGAACTGCAGGGGGCGCTGTTGCTTCTGTAGAAGCAATAGAGCAGGTGCATGGTGACCACCAGCTGTTCTTAGAAGCTGCTTGTTTTCACTTTATAATGAAACCATTAAATAAGAAAACCATTAAATTAGACATAAATGTATTAATTGGCTGAAGGGAAAAGATGTAAAGGACAAACAGAAAGACACATCCAGGTGAAACTGATTAAAGATGAAGTCATGCGTGTTGAGTTTCCGCCCGCACCCTGCGGGAGGGACGCACCTTCAGCGTCATTAACGCTGTAATGGGCTCAGTGTGAGAACAGGTGAATACAGGTGATTAGTGTGAGAACAGGTGATCCGTTTGATTCTCAGGTGTTTGTTCCCCGATCTTCTGTCAGCTTTGATCACATTAAGCAGCTTCTGATTATACTTTAGAGAAAAACACGCTGACTTTCGCTTCCTCTTCAGCTCCACTTCCTCATCATCATCATCTTCCTCATCGTCTCACAGCTCGGCGGTCATGAAGGACGAGGCTGGACAGGAGGAGGATCATTTCTCCCGCGATCATCTATATGAGGATTACAGGAGCTGCTACCTGCGGCTCGGTGCTGAGGTCCGGCCCTGTCGGGACCCCCGGCTCCTGAAGAGGGCGGCCCGGTTCCTGCTGAGGAGCCCCGACCTGAGAGCCACTTTCACGGTGTTCCCCTTCTCCCAGGCTGTGGCGGAGAGATGGGCTGAAGGCACCGACAGCAGGAAACACCTGATGGGCTTAATCAAAGCCACAGAGATGCTGGAGACCCTCTGCATCAACATGTTCCTGCAGCCCTGGAAGAAGGAGATCAGGTCCCTTAAGGTTCGCCCTCAACCACGTGGAAGGGTCCTCAGATCTTTTCTAAAAGCCTCACTGATGGAGAACCCGAAGACACAATCTATGGGGTGAGATAACCACCAAAAAACAGGTGGGTGTCTGAATTTGTAAATGGAAGTTAATAAACCTGAATAAATGTAAGATTTGTATTTGCTTCCTGTTGTCAGCCCAAACCAGCTGTGAGAAGTTGAGAAGTAAGCATCACAACAACCATCACCAAGACTTCTATAACGCGGTTTTACTGGCTTTGGTTATAAACACGGACGCGACACTGACTTCAGCAGGTTTGCCGGATGTAACTGAATGGAGTTTTCCAGCCCAAAACATTTTCATAAACCGCCTGGATATACGAAATCTTTTGACTCGCCCAAAGTCTAAGCCTTTGGGCGAGTCAAAAGTCAAAAGTCTATTGATCTCTTAGGCCATGAATCTAAAGAAAAACATTTTTTACCCATAGACGGCCGTCCTAAACTGACAGCTTGGGAAACATCCCAACCTGGCAACAATGCATGTAAGACGGGAAACATTAGCCTTTAGATGCAAAAGCCCATCATGCACAGGAACATATTTGTGCATAAATTTGCCAAATATAGGAGGAACATCGTAGTTTGGTTTAAAGGAAGCGTTTTAGTTTTATCATAATTTAGTTTGTTGCAATGATTTTAAAGTTTGAAGAAATAGAAAATTAACCGTCACCAGGATGTGCGTGACAAGGAAGGGCTATATATACTGCATGCATCATTCAGGTAGTTAACATTGTATTACTTCTTGAGCTCCTTGAGTTATTTACTGTCACAGGTAGGTGCTTGGGCCAGAGATTAAGTGTTGCGACTGGTTTAAGGAGGGCCGGCCCTCACATGCTGAAATTAGCGCCGGCCCACCGGGCAAATGCCTGTTATGACAGATTACCAGTCCGAGCCTGTTTATGAGTACAAACTATAACCCCTGATAAAGCTGTTACACTCCTCACCAGTTGGTGGCAGTAAAACGCCTGAAAGGTGTTCACTAACCTCATGAAGCAAGAAGATGAAAACACGAAAACTATTGGATGTTATTGCAAGTGTATGATGGCGTGTTAGGGCCATTCAAAAATGAAAATTTTTTTTTAAAATTTTTGAGTTTAAAGTGGCGTTTTTACGAGAATAAACACGGAAATTAATGGGTAAAAACACACTGGTTTACAGTATGTAGGCTGACCAGACGTTCTCCTTTTCCTGGACATGTCCTACTTTTCAGACCTAGAAAAAATATCCGGGGGGAATTTCAAAATTGTCTGAGATTTTGGTCGACTACAGTGCAGCACATAGTCGAAACAGGGAGCCAATAGCCTGGACACCTGCAGCCCTGTGCTCCCCCCCCGCCTGTTTTACTGGTCCCCAGCCCCCCTCCACCGGCTAAGTATGGGCGGCTCATGGCTCTCTGCCAAAAGCACCCTCCTTCTCAGAAACCCAAATCTCGTCACCCTAGATTTACGAAATTCAAACATACAAATATAAAAGAAAAAGGAACAAATTTAGGAGTAAAAAAGTAGCAAATTAGCAGGATTTAAACATGTATATTTGCGGAACAATGTGCGATTATAATTTTTCTTACAACAGGCTTCATAAAGCTCATGCCCATGCATCATTAATGGAGGCTCTAGCAATGGAAGGAGACTGGACAATGGCTTCCTCATGGAAGTGTTTTTAAGTAAAAGTGAACACAATAATTAGCACCTTTATTATCTCGTAAATTTTCATGTTTTTATTCTTGTAAATGTGACTTTTTATTCATGTAGATTTCCTACTTGTTTCCTTCTAAATTTGCATGTTCATAATCTCGTAAATTCTGGGGTTTTTAATAGTAAATTTGCGTGTTTATTCTTGTTGATATGCCACTTTAAACTCAAAAATTTACATTCCATTTTTTTTCCATCTTCGAATGGCCCTAATTTACTGTCATACACAGACACTTACGACAACATTTCAGCTAAAGTATAATGTTTGACGTTTCGTTTTCGTCCTCTTCTTCTTGTGTAATGTGTAGTATAACAGCATTATCTCTGCAAGGCGTTCTCAGGAATTTGATTCATTAATTTCTATTGAGCTACATCGACACATTTAGACACCTATGCAAATGTTTGTGTTAGTTATCTGTACCCATACTATGAATGCAAATCAAAAACCCTACACATACATTTAATATTCGCTCCAAAATTGTAAATTTTATTCTTAATGTCTAAACTTTTCACATATTAGATGTGTATGTACAGTAGAAGTTGACAACAAGGAACAAATGCAAATCTTATATTTATACACACTGACCTACATTTACAGATTCAGCCACTTTTTATTGACAGTAATCTCACCCCATAGAACTTTGGGATCAAATCCAAACAGTTGGTTAAACTGTTAGCCCCATTTACTGAGATACCTTAAAATGAAATTCATTGAACCAGACTGTCCATCATTTCTACTTCCTATTCTTCATTCTTTCTCTTTTCCACCAAATAGATTATTGAATTTACATTTTGTGGAATCAATTTCAGGGTCCGTTTCTGTGGTTCTGATCAAGTCAGAGTGCAGGAGGCCCTGAAATCTCATCCTGACTCTGCAGAACTTCATAAGGATATAATCAGCTCTTTTTTTAAATGCAGCCTGGTGGATCAGATTAAAACAGGTTTTTTCTGTCTGTTGGGCGTAGTGCAGAGCAGATCCCTACTGATTCTGTTAGGGTTGGATGGTTCTGGTTGAGCTCAAACTGTTTTCTACCACGCTGTTAACTGTACAGGTCTGTGTTTTTCTTCCAGACGTTTACAGGAGCCTTTGTTTACTGTCTGCTGCCGGTTCTCAGCTGTTCCACCATTCAGGCCATCTTGGCCTCCATTGGCTACCTGCCCAACAGCGACGCCGATAAGAGGTGAGAACCCTGCAGAACTTCAGACTGCAGGCAGTGATATGGATGTGACAGACCCCTGATCCCCTAAAAATACACAGAATTACTTTATATTTATGTACGCATTTATAAAATGAAGTAATTATTTTCAGTGTTTGATCAATTTATTTTCTTAAATATCATTCCATGGTTTAATGCAGTATATATTTAATTATTGAATTGTACAGTTAATAATCTAATTAGTCATTTTATTATCTAATGGTATTTCTTATGATAAAATGAATTTCTGAAGTATAAAAAGAGTAATTTCGGCTGAAAATGTAGATTTAATGCTGTAGATGATGAAGGGGAGCAGATTGACCTCCAGTCCGATCTTCTTTTCATTTAGTCTCTGTGTTTTATTTGCTGCTGCTTTTAAACCAGGACTCGCTTAGAGTTTTCTTAAACTTGATGGGACTGTCCTTAATAAATAAAAAGCAGGTGGACATCAGTCCCGTCCTTTAGCTACAACCTTTCTAGCTCCTTGTTTGCTCACGTCTTCCTCTTTGTTCCTGATTGTCTCTTTCTTAACATTTGGTTTAGGGTCCTGCTCCTCTAAGGTTTCATTTCATCACAATAGCTGCTTTGCTTCAAACAGATGAATCAATTTTATTGATTTTTATTAGAATTGAATTTTTGGGAATCAGGATCTTTTTCCAGCCTTGTCCGCTTTTGGCTTCCATAGCTTAGAGTGACATCACTTCACCAATTTCTGTTGCAAACCCATAAGAGTTATGTGTATATACCCATAACTGTTGAACTAATTCACTTTGTGATATCAGAAGCCTTAAATATGTCTTTGAAAGTAATTCATGTCATTTGTCATATATTTTTTATCATGAAACTTAAAGAAGAAAAAAAAATTGGATTAGATTTGGAAGGAAAAAAAGTTCAGATTGAATTTTTGAGACATCCAGACTGGGCATGTAGATCTGTTATCCATTGGTAATGTCTCCAGTCAAACAAAACGCAGGAAACCTAATTGTTTATCGTCAGATATCAGTTGCTTTGTTCTCTGCTGTGACGTTGTTGCTGATCAGGAAAGGGAAACCAGCTTAGATGGATGTTCCTGGATTTCAGCAAAGTCGTCCTGATATCTGCTGATGAAGGGAAACTTCGCTCTGTTTGGATTCATCATTGTCAAATGTCTTCAGAAAAATAAGTAGTTATTGAAATGATCCATTTTATCTATGAAGAGACATTTCTTCACTCTAATCTATACTGTTTGTAAAACAAAGTCACAAAAAATGATCTAAGCTTATACTACAAAATATATCTATTCCATACTTTGATCAAGATATTATGAGGACTTTGTTCCAAAAATAACTTTAACATCTTAGTATTGACACTCTTGTTCTTAGACTTGTTTTACTCAACTACACTTTTCTTAGGGGTTTTAAATCTAGTTAATAATAAAAAGTTTAACTCTGTGTTTCAGTGAGTTCACACTGAGTGCTGGTCCCGATGCGGACCGAGCTTTGCTGCTGGGATTCGAACTGCTGCTGGCCAGAGTGGAATGTTCTCATCTGCTGGACCTACTGGTGGAGCACCAACTGGGACCACAGGTCAGATCGGCAACTCCCCACTTTTCATGTGTTCCTCATTCTAGTGTATGGGCTGTTCTAGGGGCCAATGGGGGCCATTGCCCCTGTAGATCATGTCCTGGCCCCTGTACTGAAGACATAATACTCAAAGAAGTTCTAATGGTGATATGCGCTGAAACAGACATGGTTACTGATCGGTCCTTTGGATCTATTTCATTTTTTTTTGTTACAAATTCTGTTTGACTAATTATATATTATAAAAACAATAAGGTGATCATTTCAGTGGGATTAAGATAGGATCACAGTTTTCATCTGCTAAATGTTTTAAAACAAATTTAAAAAAAAATCTAATTCAGATTTAATAGAAAACAGTAATTTTAACTTGAATTAAGTCAAAAATATGTAAAATTCCTAAATTATGAATGTATATTGACCTAATTAGAATTAGAATTCAACCTAATTGAATGGACATTTCACTTCATGCAGCAATCTTAATATATTTGAATCCCTTGCTCTGTTTTTTATTTCATTTTTTTTGGCTCCCCCATGAAAACAAGCTGGCCCCCTGGTATATTCGGTCTAGAACCACCACTGTTCTAGTGGGTGAAAAGTAATTCCTTAGTGTCCCAATTTTTTTTTTTTTTTGCTGATTGTCTGATTGAAATTATAACTTTCATAAAGAGGATTTCAGAGCTACACAACTTTAAAAAAAAACAAAAAAAAAAAACAAGACAACTCAGTCCAGAACCAATGAACTTCTGAAGACATGATGCACTGCTGGTGTGCCAATGCTTCTCATGGTGCTTGGGAATCAGATTTACGCATGTTCAGGAAATGAGGAATAAAAAAAGGTCACTTTAGTATTTATAAAAAACTGATCAGTTGCATCATTTATTTTAAAGAGTTAAATTCTTTTGAATGAATTAATCAAAATGATCACGTTAAAGTTCTGGTCTGTCTGAAATTTTAAATTAAAAGTTAGTAAATGTGAAATAATTAGAGATTTGTTTTTATTTCTTGTTTTCAGTCTTTATATTCTTCTGCCAACAAATATTTAATCTTTGAGAAAACAATTTTAGAATTTATAAATGCAAGATACAACTTTACAGCACTATAACTTTATGCTAGGATTCAGCATTCATGCACAGGAATCTGAAAAATTAGGAATGATGTGCAGTGATCTGAAATTATGCATAAAAATCCCACATTTCTAAGAACAAATCTACACACTCTGGTATAATGTTTTAAGGCATGGGCAACATATGCTGTGGTTCCTTTATGTTTGTTGGTATGCAAACAACTTTCAGGTGCATTCCTGCCACAAACTGGTAAGGAATGCATCATCTTCATCCAAAGATTTAATGTTTGGTCTGTCTTTTTGTTTATCGCTGCATTCTTCCTGTCTGCCGAGTGCTTCGTATTTGTAACTTGACAGGGTCTTGTTCTGGGCTCTCTGAGGTTTAGGCTAGGAAGCCCTGACCTCTGTCCAACTAACGGGTGATGAAGAGGTCACTGATGCACAGGTATCAGCCAATACAGGGAACCACAGACTGAAGAAGTGTTCAGATGGTCATATTATGCCTGGTTGGTGGATCTACTAATGGCGATCAGTCCAGCTCCGGTGTATTGTCCTTGAACTGCGCAATGTCCCAATTCAGCTTTTAAGGGTTCTTCTCCATTCTTTCTTTGACTCTGTTGGCTGAGTGGAGTCAGTCCACCAGAGTTTTAACTCTCCATCTAGTCAAAGCAGAAGCAGAAGATAAAATCCTGCCACCATCTGCTCCTTGTTAAAAATGCAGACCTTCCAAATGGCTGCAGATCTTCTGTGTTCATACCTGAAACTAGCCTTGCATTATTGCTCTGATGGCTGAGCTGCTGCACGGGGGCGCAGCGGCTAAAGGACCATACTCCCTTAACAGGATAACACCATATTTATAGACACCAAAGTCATCTGATCAAGGACTGACCAACGCCTGCAATATATATAATATATTTGTAGGTCCAGAACTGACTGATCTGATCTAATGCTAATCCTGCAGGAATGGTTAGATGTTCTCCAGAGAGGAAAGCAGCCTGCAAAGTTGATAGATCCCTCAGAAAAGCAAGCGATACTAGAGGAAAGGAGAGACAACGATGCTGAGAAGGAGGATTTGGATAAGAAAGGGGTATGACTGGAACTAAGAAAATATTCTATCCTGACGGTTTTCAAGTTCTAAAAGGGCTTCAGCATGGCCACAAAACACTGTCCTGCTCTAAATGTGGTTTCTTTCTTCCAGGAAGCTCTGCGTTTAGAGGCCAGGCCTCCCTCAGTCCCCCAGCCTAAGCCTCGCCGGTATGGCCTCAGCAACATGGACCATTCGGTTATGGATCTGCAGAGGACGTACCCAGACCTGGCCTTCAGGGGTCGCCCTCTGCTCGCAGAGCAACCTCAGAAAGCTGCTGTGGCCGACTGTGTAGCTGATGGTACCACTGAGCATTTAAAAACAAAGCTGATGGAGAATAAAGCGCTGACTGGATGTGACGGTTATAAAGACAGAACCAGTGCAGGGGTCACTGACCCATCAGAAACCAGCTTTAGGAACTCTGACGAATCCAGATTGGATGATGATGATCACCTCAGTGGTCCTCAAGCCATTTCCCTTCATATCACACTGAGGAAAGGACCCAAAGTGGAACCGAGCTTGGATCTAGGAAAGATGCCCCCCCCCACAGAGGCGTCTGATGGAAAGCAGAAATCTGGTAAGAAATGTATAGTTGTTTCAGATCTTCATGAAAACCCTTGGTTTTATAGGAAGCTCCACAGTTACTGCTTGCATGCTCTGTGTGAGACGTGACTGCAACTAACAAATATTTTGCAAATCGATTATTTTTTCGATTCATCGATTAATAATTGGATCGCCAAAGATTCTTTAAAGACTTTTAACGAAATCAAACCAGGTGAAACTAAAATACTTTTCGACTTGTGGTGTTCTGGATAGACCATGTTGATAGAGGAAAGTAAATTTCTTATCTTAAACTTTCTTATCTTAAATGCAAAATGTTTACATTTTTTTTTATTTATTTATTTTTTTTTTTACAATTTTGGCACATTTTCCTGCTCTATCAGCTAAAGGCATGTTTTAGAGTCTCTATACCCAGAATATTACCAGAAGATTATGAATGTATTAAATAACTAGAACTGGAAATGATAGAAAATGTAAATGTCATTCAAATCGAGGGATAATCAATTATCAGTTGAATAATAATATAATTTGTTTACTGACCAGGGTTTTTGGTCTCTTCCATAAAGGGTTGTCTTTCACCAATTTAGTAATTGAGACTATGACTATCAGCAAAGTTATTAATCACCAACCAAATAAATGTCCCTGTTCATTCAGATGCTACTGAAAGAAAAGTGAATCCAGCCTGAGTGATATATCGTTCACTGCATAGAATAAAGACAAAAGAATGAGAGTTAAAATACAATGCTACCTTTATTAACTACAGTCACAAAGTATTATATCTAATAACTACGCAGACACTAAACACTACTGAAAATAAAAAATAAATACCGTAAACAAAAGGGGACGAGGGGTTTAGAAGCCTAAGTCAGAGGAATTTTCAAGTTTTAAGGCTTAATGCATTGAAAGTGTCCTTTAAAATAGCAGAAGATAAATGTGAATAAACTCTGAAGCAGAGATGTTAAACGCGGTCAGAACAGTGCAGTTTCATTCAGATTTATGGTGAAAAATGAATGACTCAGGAATACATTTAACTGTGAAAGAGAAATGGGTTAGCTTAACAGGCCGCAGGGGATTCGACAATGTGGAACCAAACTACATTTCAGAGTGGCCTTTTATTGTGGGCAGTCTAAAGCACACCTGTGCACTAATCATGGTGTCTAATCAGCATCTTGATATGCCACACCTGTGAGGTGGGAGGGATTATCTCAGCAAAGTTTAAGATCTTTGCGTTAATCTCATAAGAAATGGGAGCAAAATCAAAAATGTTGTTTACATTTTTGTTGAGGTTATCTATAAGGTGTTAAGCCGGTTACGATTTTTTACCCTTTTTGGACAGATTTTCCAGTTGTGTGAGAATTTGTCGATCGGGCTGACTTTCAGCCTGATCGTGCATCGTATAGTATACGGGGGGTAAAGAGGGGCGATCAGCCTCCAACGAACACCTCGATTCAGGAATCGTAAGGTCTGGAGAAAATCAAACATTTTGAAATTCAGTCAGCCGTTGTGGGCAAATCGCTTTGTGCACTGGCGCAGATGAGGATTCTTCTTTCTCTCAGAGGCAAACACAGAAGCATGGCGGGGGTGCGAGTGAAATGGAGTTCTTTCTGTCAAACTGACAGACCGTAGTATCCACGTTTGCTCAGCCATGTCTTTGTCCAAATACGTCGTCACCTTTTCTTTTTAGGGCTTTCAGCACAAAATTGCCAAGGCAGTGCGTTTAACTCTAGTGAGCTTCATATTCCTCTTCTACTCGCTTGGCTTCCAGATAGACGAGTCCGCTTAGCGCCATCTCACTGCGGAGCTGAATCCAACGTGGTTTTTAGACGTATAGTGTGAGCAGGTAGATCGCATCAGAGCGTCACAGTGTGAGAACAAACATCGTGAGCGGTGAACGTTTAAACCCTGAGGTTTCGTCGTACAGTGTGAGCTGTAGCTGCGTACAAGGATTGAAAATATCTCACAGTGTATGCCCTTTGTTGGCCAACCGATAAGGGGTTGATCAACCAATGAGGTCTCAAGCAACTAATGAGGTTTTGCCAACCAATTAAGCAACCAAAAGGTGAAGTCAACTCCTTTCCCCAATGGAAGCAGTGATCCGATTTAAGAACCAGCAGGGAAACTCTCATAGACAGATGAATTAACAGATAATGAATGAAATGTTATTTAAACTAATAATTAGATTGCAGGCAGTAACAGGAGTACAGTAGTGAACCAGACCATCGCTGTGAGGAGGGGAAGAAATTCAATGGCTGCCCTCTGCAGTGTTTTTCTGTCACAGAGGAACTGAAAAGGAGAAGAGGTCCTGAAAAAGGTTACTAAAAGTGGTCGGGCAGGCAGGTTGTTAGGAAATTGCTGGTATTTCTTTACCACCAAAGTCGGCACAAGTACCAAAGTATCAATATAAAAATGAGCATTTTGAACAAAGCCAAATGAATATGATGGTAGTAAAGGCTGCCATTTACCTTTTAGGTCAACTGCAGACAAACGCTAAATTAAAAAAGGCAAAGAGTTCAGTTCAGTTTTTTTGTCCCAGTATGGGCAATTTTTGTGCAGTAGGGGTACACCTTTCACACACAGGTTCACATTTCACAAATCACAGATAAAAAATAAAAGAAGTACAAGAGACACATATTTAAAAAGATAAAAGTAAGGTGGATAAAAGAGCATAGGCCTGAATCCATGCAACATATGGCTATCTGCTTTTCCTGGTAGAGTTTAGCAGCTGAAGAGCAGAGGGAATAAAGGAGTGTTTGTATCTGTTGGTCCGAACTGGAGCTGAAATAGTACTGACTTTTATTTTCCTGTTAAATCTACAGCCAGAGATGATGTGACGGCTGATCCATCGGAGTCTCCATCCTTCAGCTCGATTGATGAAGAGCAACAGCTGAGGGAGCTAGCAGAGAGGATGGGACAGGGAGCGACAGAGGTGAAGGGAAAAACCACTGGCCCAACGGAGACGGGAACATGTGTGGAAGAACAAAACCAGGAGAACAAACGGTGAAAGAGGATCGGCAAAGAAAGTCTAAGGCCTAAAGTGAAACTTTTTTCCTGAAATATTGATCAATCTCTTGGTTTCCTTTTCCTAAACTTTGGCTTGGTGTTGAAGCAGAATGGCGGGACGGTTTTTCTCAGGCCACTGGAGCCGACCAATTAGATCAATCTGGGCTTTGAGAAGGATGAAATGTTGAGATTAACATTTATTTTCATGCTAATTGTCTTATGCTAGGAGGCTTTCATTATTTCAGTAACTTTTTGCTAAAATGATGTCATTGACACAATAAAAGGGACCTTTTTTTTTTTTTTTTTAATTATGGTTTATTATGGTGGTCTGCACTGAGATTGGGATTAAAGACCGGCGGTCCTGCTGACATCCAGATACAAACCACCTAATTAAAGGGCACTGTTTGTGCTTTTCACTGACTTAAAGGTTTCAGCTCCTCAAAACAAAACTGAATATAAGACGAAGATGAGTAAATGCAACCACTTTTCAAAGTGGGCTTTTCTTCAGAGACCGAGGACTTTCTGACTTTGAGTTTAGGGGTTGATGGCTGCTTCAACGCCTGATGGAAAACCCCAAACCGAGTCTAAATATATTAAAATTAATCACCTTGATTGAAGGTAGGGGGGTATAAATGAGAATTGGAGGAAAGGGAAGGCTGTTGTTGTTATGGCAACACAGTGACACCCCATGTGTATGGCTGTGCCGCAGGGTGACATAAAATTAAGCATTTGCCCCTTTCTTAAAAATGTATACGGTCAGAAAAAACTATTTCATAGAGGTTTCCTGTCAGTGTGACGAAGATGCAGGATCCCAGCAGACCTCTGCTACTAGTTTGCCGTTACACCTGCTGCCACATTCCTGATTATTTAAGGCCTGAATGGTCCACTCAGCCTACCCGCTGCGTGGTTTGGGACGGCCCGTAATGTGGAGGGCCCACTGCAGCCACATGCACATGGAGGGTTACTGCTTAGGGAAGGTTTAGGGGTCACTTTGGGATTGGATCTTTGTCCTGCTTTTACTTGTTGACTCTTCAGCAATCCCTCACACCGCGCATCCAGAGACAGTGGAACCAGGCTCAGTGTGAGCGGCCATCTGCAGGGGCCGACTGGGGTTCAAGGGGACAGAAGCAGAGATACAAAAGGTTAACTAGATCCAAAGGTGGCCCTGTCCAGGACAAAATCATATTCACAATAAAAAAAATTTACCTCCCTGGATTATTTAAGCTGCCACATTACTCCATTCACATGATCAGTGCACTATAGCCACAGATGCTCTGGGTCTGGGCGCGGAGGAAAAACTGCCGTACTTCAGCCCTCTGACTGCCAACAGCAGGCGAGGTGGCTGAAGTCCTACCGAAGACGAGAGAAGAATGGAGAACCCCGACCTCCCGAGTGACCATCACCCACAGCTGTGTTTGATTTCAGAGGCCGCGTCCTCCAAGGACTCCTACCTGGACTGGGTCCTTGGAAGTCCATGAAAACAAGGAGGCTGGAAGGTTTGGCTATGGATCCAAACAGATCCAGCTTTCTCTGGCTTTCACCAATGTATGCTCTGTTGCCTAGCAACCATTACAGTTGACACTTAAAGCAGGAACTGATGTTCTGAGTGCTGATAACATTTCTAAGGAGCTTCAGCAGCAGTGCCGTTGGATTTATAGTCCCCACACTGGAGTGATATCTGGAAGCTGAGATTAAATTGCAGCCAAACCCATTTACACGGGGACACATAAAACGTTTCAATAAAACAGATATTAGCCGCCACGTATTTGACTTGATAACCATTTTAATTCATTTAGACAGAACTATTCAGACTTGGATTATATAAAACTGCACTTCCAATGTTCACCACTGTTCAGCGCCATTTATTTCCCTCTGAGCAGCCCGCTTGCTTGGACTCGCAATGAATCATGGGATACCCAAGGCTACAGAGGATACAGCGGACCTGTCCTTCAAAGCTGGAAAAAAGGATTTGTCAGCTGCATAAAAAGGAGTCTTCCAATCCTCGCTATGACATCATCGGTCGACGAATCTGGCCAGGAGTCAGCTGCTAGATTCGAACTCGGCACTTGTTATAGAGCAGAACCCAAACATGGTGACAGATATGGAGAACGGATCACTTTCTTTTTGCTTTTTAAGATATTTTATTAATAAAAAACAGTTTTCAGAGGTGGAATGTCAGTGGGAGGTTTTCCATAGAGATTACTGAAAACAACACATTTCAAAAATGGAAAGAGAAAATTTTTTTAGACTAAAATGTAAGTAAAAATTCAAACAATACTGTTTGCTGTTTTGATTATTTTTCCGAATTTCTGCTTTCATCATTTTTTGGAAGGCTCAGTTTTAGGAACAGCATTCTTATTAAATCCTTGTAGTTTAACTGTGAGGAGATGCAATTCATAAAACTCACCCCAAAAAAATGGTAGAATAAAGCAGGTTAACTTCAACAGAAACACTTTGGAAAAAGAATCTTTAGCTCTCAGCAGAACAGAATGTCTGTTTGCAGCCATCTTTGCCTTAATGACTGTGGAGCCAATGTCCCTGTAGAGTTAGTTGAGGTTTTCGAGTGAAGCAGCATTTTACGGAACAAAAATCAACAAATCTAAACATTCCTTTAACTCTGCAGAGAAGTTGTGTCAGATGAAACTTGGAGCTTGAGGGAAAGTGATGAATAAGGTTGCTCTTAGCTCTGGTGGAGTAGCTGTTAGGTAAGCTCTCACCTGGAAGCTTAACAATAAAATACCCGATTCCACGGCCAAACTGAAGGGATTTACCGGTGAACTGATAACGGCTCGTCTTTAAACCGGATAAAGATGACATTGGAAACTGCTCTCTATCAAACAGGACGAGCGACTAATTTCTAGGCAGGATTGACTTCAATTCTTAACGGTAGATTTTTTTCCTCGCTGAATGAATCTGATTAAACTTGACTTTTTCTAATTTTCAAACATTAATCGAGGCGCTCAGCAAAGGTACGGGCAGAGTAGCCATGCTGATTGGTCCAAAACCGTCCAGTGCAGAAAAGAATCAAATTCATGGGTTGATGATGAAGCAGCTTAGGGTTTAGAACCAATAAATAGATCTGGGTCTCAGAGAAGGTGAGGCAGCATTTGTCGCAGCATCAGGAGCTGCTGGTTGCAAGGATCCTCTCTCGGTGCTCCTCATACTTGTGGAGCATCTTCTGGAGGTCGTGGTCTGCAGGGATCACCTGGAAAACAGGTCAGCATATGTTTTCTTCCCATCTCTGCCTTCTGCGGTTTCAATGGGACCAATGTGGACGTGTAGATCCTTCACTCACCAGAACTGGAGCAGGAACCGGAGAGGAGCTTCCTTTAATGAGCCAGTCCTCGTAGCGCTGATGGATGGACTCCAGATACTCCTGGCAGACAAACACAGAGGAACCTGATGAGGCCGCAGAACATGAACAGTGCCGTCTCTGAAAATAACCTCGACTTCTCACCAGAGGAATGACCTTCTCCTCCTCTCTGCACCTCTGCTTCAGCCTCTCATAGCAGGTTAGAGGAGACGTCTGCAGGTAAACTGGAGCCAGAGGAGAAGAACATGATTCAGAACACACTGGAAAAAAATGCAGACTGAAGGCAACCTGGCTTTTTTGGAATCTAAGGAAATGATTTGTTAAAACTAAACTAGAGAAAACCCCTCAAAGTAAAAGACTGACCTGTTTCAGTTAGCAAACAGAAGCCTGGTTTCTACCAATCACAACTAAAAGGGTTTTAGTTTTCAAACTGGAGGCTCTTACCAATCAGGTCAACTGGGAGGGAAACGTTAGCGGTGATCCAATCAAACCACTCGCTCAGAACAGCATAGTCCACCTCCGGCATTTTCCCACTGAAATACAGAACCATGTTAGAACTAACTGACTGTTTATGGTCATTTGGGGTCAGTTCCAGATTTTAGGTTCAGATAAAAACAAGAGAACCTCTGAAAGAGATTGTCCACAAAGATGTGCTTGGCGCTGAAGATGGACCTCTCCATCATCATGACAGGAGCAGCCTGAAACCAGAGAGAACCATCAGACCTCCTGGAGGGGGGTTAGTCCTCATGTCAGGGTGTCCTCCCAGATCAGCTGCACTCACAGAGGCTGACAGGTGTCTGTCCAGCATGGTGAGCTGAACATAGGTCTGCAGAGTGATAGCCCAGCGCTGTGGATCCTGGTACATCAGGGCCTGCAGAGGACAACAGGGAAGGCAGTCAGCTCAAGGAAACCGGACCGTATGAGAGATAAACGATGGAGAGTCATCTGTTCCAGTTACTGAAAACAAACGGGTTTCAAAAATAGAACCTATCAATAAAAAACAATCTGAGTAATTATAGAAAACCAAACATTTTGGAAAGTAAAATCTGAAATAATACAAAACTTTAATAATATTGGTTAAACTTTTGTATAAATTGGGAATATTTTTATTTTTTTTAATGCATTTTCTTCAAATTTACTTTTTTAAAAACAGGCCGCACAGTGGTGCAATGGGTAGCACTGCTGCCTTGCAGCAAGAAGGTTCCAGATTTGATTCCCGGCCCTTTCTACATGGGGTTTGCATATTCTCCCTGGGCATGCGTGGGTTCTCTCTGGGTACTCCGGCTTCCTCACACAGTCCAAAAACATGACTGTGTGAACGGTTGTTTGTCTCTGTGTTGCCCTGCGATGGACTGGCGACCTGTCCTGGGTGTACCCCGCCTCTCGCCCGTAGACAGCCGGAGATAGACACCAGCAGGGCTAAAGCGTGACAGAAAATGGATGGATGGAATATTTTCTCTCTGCTTTCAGTAATGTTGAATCAAATGACTCCTCCAACCATGTAGGTCTATATTAGGCAGATTTAGCTTCCTTTCAGAATCAATGTCCTTGGCTAAATAAAAGCAGTTTAAATGTGGACCTAACAGGCTTCCATACCACATGCTGAGACCAGGACCAGTTGGTTAAATTTGTTTTTCTCTTTAAATAACCTGACAGCATTGATGAATGATGCCGTTAATTACCAGAGGATTGTTTCCACGGACGTCCCTCCATTTGGAGACCGGTTCCGTCTGGACCTGGAACAAAGCAGCAAGTGTTTAGCAGTAAATTAACCGGCTCAGATCCACGGGACTTCCAGGTACCTCTATGTTGCTGGTTCTGCTGAAATATTCCAAACATGTCGTTTTTCCACAGGCGATGTTCCCCTCCACACAGATCTGGAATCAGTGGACAGAGACACGCGTGTCAGCACCACGCTGGGAAGAACAAACACGCAGAGCATCAGTCAGCGTGGGAGGATGCTCACCACAGTCTTTCTGCTGTCTCCATTCCGCACCAACTTCCCTTGAAAGGAAGACAACATAGTGAGACAGACTCTTCGCTCCTGGTCTCAGTTAGCTAAGCTAGCGACGGAAAGCAGCAGGGGCCATATCCGACCTCCTTTCGTAAGCGGGTCTAACATCAGAGCAGCAGAGGAGAAAGGTCCGCTGTTTAAGGCTCAGCTAGCCCCCACTGGTTACCTGCTGGAACCGCCTTAATCCGGCTAGAAGGTCCCGTCCGGATCCCTCTGGTACCTCCTGTCCGAACTGACTGAAGTACGTGAGGAAGAGCTGACCTGAGGCTGAGCGAGAACCGAGCAGGGGCCGCTGTCATCTTCCATAACATCCACCGCATCCCCACCACTTCCGCCGCGCTTCTTCTTCTTCTTTTCAATTATGGCGGATCACAAGCAACTTTAAGGTGCACACCGCCACCTACTGTACATGACTGTGCAGCAACATTACTTTACATCAAATTCTAGTTTTTAATTTCGTATTCTGTTGCTGGATTCATAATGTTTTCTTAAACTGTAAATATCCTTTATATTTTCTTCATACCGCTGCCCTTCTTCTTCTGTCTGAGACCGACATCCATGGATATACTGCCACCTGCTGTTCAGTGCTGGTAACATCACTTCTTTCTTTCTTTCTTTCTTTCTTTCTTTCTTTCTTTCTTTCTTTCTTTCTTTCTTTCTTTCTTTCTTTCTTTCTTTCTTTCTTTCTTTCT